CCGACGACGGCCGATAATCGGGTTGGTGTGCGGAGGCCTTTAGATCAGATTCAATACTGTGCTCAGACCAACAGCAAGCATTATCATGTCATGGCAAAGCCTCTGGCACTGAGCAGTCAGGCCAGGAGCTGATAGCAGCACAGCATATCATTTCAAAGCGTCGCCCTGTCACCAGTGCTCATCAAACACAGTGCAGCTAGCTCAATGTAGACACCAGTTGGAGGTGCATGTTTCAGCTGCATTTATCTTACCTTCGTTTATTTTCGCCATGTCCACACTGGCATTGTTTAGCTGCAGGGCGGTCTGAAGTGCTGGGAGAAGCTGGCGAAGCAAGGTGGGGTCCTGAAGTAGTGGAGGGGCGGGAGACTGCAGGACTGGGGACACAGGCACTGTGGAGGCAGATGATCCGGGGGGCCCTGATGAGGGGTTCAAGCTCCCTGAGCCTGAGGATGATGACTGGGAGGCAAGGGTCGCTGATGGCTTCTCTACCTGGACAGACTCTGTGAGGGCAGCAGCAAGGAGGACGTCATCAACAGAGGCAGTCTCGCTAATCAAAATGATAGCTAAATGATTATGCAGTCACTTTCAGACATATTCATTTATTCTTGCCTAGGAAGGTGGCTAACAGTGTCAAGCAGCGTCAGCTCCATTAAGGGTTCTAAGTAATGGTTTACAATCCCACATGAAAGTCTGACTGAAACCATGCTCATTCTCCAGAACAGACAGACAGCTGCAGACTTCTACACACAATACAAATTTGCAGTATACTTAGTTCCACGTGTGCACTAGCAAACATGATGGCAACCTTCTGACGGCAAGAAGAAAATATCCTTTGTTGTATCTGGCTGAAAACCAAAAACAAGAGTAGGACCAAGGATGGGGAATACACTACATACAGTACACAAAACAAGCATCCAGCAAAATCTTGCGGTAATCAATCATACAGGAAAGAGCACATTCCTGGTGCTTTGGAAGTAAACAGTTGTAATACTCCGTTCATGTTACAATCAGCCATCAAAAGATAAAATAGTTGCCAATGTGACAGCTGTAAAATCCTGTCTGTGAGCAGTACCAACAGTGTTTGGGACATGTGGAACCTTAAAGGGATTCATATTTTACTCTAGCTGGACTTCTTGGATCGTATTTCTTTGTCTCATTGGTACCTCAATCAACACATTTTGTGTAGCGCTTTGTGTACCTCTCCTGCCCTATTTCTGTGGCTTCACCGAGGAGCTACTAGTAATCACAGTACAGACACTATTTTGTACAGCGTGACTGTGATTCAGACGGACTTGGCTGCAGCCTGGCAGACATCTGTAAGAGCATGCGCAGGAGGCATCTCCGTTATCTCAGTTAGCCATGCAGCTAACGGTCCTATTAGCTGACTGCCTGGACTGGGAGCTCCGAGGGAGTGTTGGTGGTACTAGCACAGGCGCTTTGGACCTCTTGCAAACTCAATACACACCATAAAATCTCATCACAACTAAGGGTGGAGAGAATTCTATTCATAGATGAAACGCTAGTCTCCATGCAGAAAAGTCAATAAGTGGAAATTTAAAACTCAATTCTTGACATTATGATGGCCTGTAACAAAACAGTACCTGGCTGCAGACATAACGGCAGATCTCCTCCCCAGCATGTGCAAGAGACATGTTCCTTACGGCTGAACCAACTGGCTGGTGAAATGCAACGGCAAGATCATGTACATCATGTTTATGTTCTACAGCCAGCTGCTGAGTTGTGGTGAAGATGGCTGACCATGAGCAACAGACCGTGCGGCTGCTAGGTAGATGTGCATCATGCGTTAGGGCACCACTAAAACAGCCTGATGATCATCAATCACAATGGTATATATACAGGCTGCAGCCCCTAGTGCTACCACGTTTTTCTGTCATTTATAGTCGTGCTTCTGTCCTCTCCTCCGCATAATAGAGGGCAGGGCTCAGCTTCACTCACACACAAACACAGAGCAGACAGAGAGAAGAGAGAGCAGAAAGGCTGTGGCTCAGTTTGCTTGGGTTGATGACAACTCAAGTACTACGTAGAAGAAATAGTAGTGATATTTCCACCTGATTTGTGTGCCGTTTTTGTTGTTACAACCACAGCATGCGTGTTAATGTAATAATGAATAGAGGTGTCTGTATGTAGTCTATATGCTTATTTTAGTTTGGGTTAGGTCACAAATCTGAGAGGACAGGAGGATGCTCGCGTGTCCGAACAGCTTTAGCAGGGAACAGACCTTGTTGAAACAAAGACCAGACCCCTCACACATAACAGTTACTCCCACCAACAAGATTTATTTATTTTTAGACATCCTGTGCAATCCTATGTAAAAAGTGAATTCCCAGTATGGCTGTATCAAAACAGAAACAGACAACCGTCAGACACAGTTGCTCATTTCTGATGCTGTTTGCATGGAAAAGCCAAAGAAAGTAGGGAATCATGCGAAATATGGATGAAAAGGTGGATGACAAGTCATGGGGATCAAGAACTCTGCAGAGAAAACTGAAGAGTGAACATCATAATAGTGAGGTGAAGTTCAGGTGAGCTGTGGCTTTGCACTGAAACCTCAACAACTGTATCACAATCCAACTGTCACACAACTGTAACTCACTGACTCCTGTTACATCTTTGTTTTGGGTGATCAGATTGCAGTCAGATAGTGCTTGACAACATGAAAGTACAGGTGTAAACGCACCAAAGACACACTGAGTGGAGACTGATCTGATCAGCCAAACAAGCATGCACAGCATTTGCGTTGATCAATACAGATATTTGGTTTTAGCTAACAACATATAGGTTGTTGTTCAAATTTAGAGAACGAGTAAATAAGACAAGAAAGAGACATGACTAATTACCCACTGTGTATATGTTGTGCCATGAAAGCACCAAAGGGTGCGCTACTCAACTGCATGAAATCTCATTTATCTAGTCACAGAGTAGCCTACAGACTGGTGCTGCAACACGCCTGTACAATATGTT